TCAATGGAGGTTGAAAAAGCTGGTGGTGGGGTCGGGGAAGTCCAACAACACTGGATTCCGACCAAATCGAGCCAAACGAATTGAAGAAGAAAAGACATTTATTTAACACCAAATAGTCGAGCAAATGTGAGAGATTATGGGTTTTTTTGATAAAATACTCTTTACCATGTAGCTGAGCAGATTTGAGAGATTATGGGTTTTTCTTTGAAAAAAAAATCTTCCTCTATTTTCTTTAATATTTGCATTAAGGTGATGGATTTAGAGTGGAGATCGATGGAATGATTATTAGGGTGTGATTAGTTCAAGGAATGTTACATTATTGGGAATGTTACATTAATATAAAGATAGATTACCTTCAAGATTATTTGGAATGTTTATGGAAATGTGTTTGGTTGGTTGGAATATATTAGTGGGTATGTTATATTAATATGTATGGTTGGGAGGAATAAATTGGTGGGTATGTTATCTAAATTACTAAATTGCCCTCCTTTTAAATATTAATATAATATTATTTTTTGAATAATTTTTTAACCCCCTACATTTCAAATTTAGCTAAAACATCCCAACAACCAAAAAAGTTTAAAACTTTACAAAAACACCCCTACCCATCCCAAGCCATTGTCGATTGTCAGCCACCATCGTCGTCCGCCGCTAGCAATCGACGAAATGGTGCACGATCGGCCGAATCTGGCCGGTCGTGCGCCGATATGGATGTTTCTGATCATATCAATGGCCAAAACAACCAGATTTGTGGTCGTTGTGCACCATGGATCTGGTCGACCAGATCTATTCCGACATCCACGACCAGATCTACAACCATATTGGCGCATGACAACCATTTCCATCGACTTCTAACGACTCCTCGGGACGGTCGGCGATGGTGGCTAGCGGGTAGCGGTGATCTTGGTTGGCCTACAATTTGTTTTAAATATAAGGGCATTATTATCCAAAAACTTAATTAAATAGGGATAAAATTGTAATGGCAAATGCATGTAAATTAATTTCAAAATAAGGGCATTATTGTCCAAATTTTTTATTAATAAGAGGTAAAATTCTAACAAAAATAAGATTACCAAATAATTTTAAAATACCTAAGAAAATGGAGGTAATCAGATTACCTTTTATGTTACCAACAATAATTACTATTAGTTTTGGAAGATTACCGGAAACTTATATTACTTGACAACAAAACGTAGTAATCAAGTAATATAAAATGATATTACCTAAGTAATCTCCCATTACCCCTAACCAAACACACCTTTAGGGTGCATTTGGTTAAGGGAATGTTGGATTACTAGAATCTTATATTACCTTGAAGATTATTGGGAATCTTTAGGAAAATGTGTTTGGTTAGTTGATGGTATATTATATTAATATGTTTGGATAGGGGGAATAAATTGGTCGGTATGTTATTTAAATTACTAAATTGCCCTCTTTTAAAACATTAATATAATATTATTTTTATTATTAATTTTTGAATAATTTCTTTTAACCCCCAATATTTCAGATTTAGCTAAAATACCCCCACTTATATAAAACTTTAATTTATGACAAAGTCACCCCACCGCATGCCGCCACCGCAAACCATGACCGGAAGTCTCCTAAAGTCACTGTGAGTAGCTCACCGTAACCACGAGGCTCCGATATGTCCGTTTCTGGCCATATTGATGACCGAAAACGGCCATATCAGGCCAGATCGATGGATTGGGTCGTTAACGACCAGGTCCATGGCTGTTAATGGCTAGATCTCGCTCAGATCTGACTGCTAATGGCCAGATATGGCTGTTTTCGGCCATCAATATGGCTGAAAATGGCCATATCGAAGCCTCCCGGAGCCTCCCAGCGAATCTCGATCATTTTTAGGGACTTCGACAGTAGTGCGTGGTGGTTGGCCCGCTGTCGGTGATGGTGGCTGGGTAGCGGTGCTGGTCTGTAATTTCTTTTAAATATAAAGGTTTTATTGTCCAAAAACTTAATTAAACAAGGGTAAAATCGAAATGATATATTAATGTAAATTTATTTTTAAATAGGGGCATTATTGTCCAAAAATTTTATTAATAAAGGATAGAATTGTAACAAAAATAAGATTACCAAGGTAATCTTACAATACCTAAGAAAATTGAGATAATCAGATTACCTCCAATATTACCAACAGTAACAACTATTGGTAATAAAAGATTACTGAAATCTTATATTACTTGACAACCAAACATGGTAATCAAGTAATATAAGATGACATAACTCCAGTAATCTTCTATTACCTCTAACCAAACGCCCCCTTAGTGTTATTGAGGTGGTTTAATTTTTTTAAAACAAATTTTCATTTTTTTGGTTCTCTGGAACCTGTTATAGTTGTCAATTTGGGACACATAATTGGTTCAATAGTTTTTATTTTCAATTCGTTTGGCAGTAGGCCGACAGTGAAGGGTGAGTTGAGAGAAAGTGAACTTTTTTCAATGGTGGTTTTGGTGGCGATTTGGAGCTGGTGGTGGCCAGATTCTTTGTTGATTGATTAAGTTTTTTTCTAGTTATTTTCCCTGCTGTCAACTACCATATCTTTCGGCTATTTTCGATTGTATGAAAAATTAACATCCTATATGTCTTTACTAACAAATCTTAATGGTGGGGTGAGAAACTGTCTAATAGATCTTAATGGTTGGTGGATAATTGTCGTTTTCAAACTATTTGGGTATGAAATTATGATTAGGGCAAACTTCGGGTGGGACGATGTGGTTTGGCTTTTAGGTAATCCACAAATTGTTCTTTTAAGAAATATGTAAAGAAATGAGAAATTCTTAATGGTAAGATTTTATTAGATAGACTTATGGATGGACCGTGGACGTAACCCATCTTAATTGGATGACGTATAACATCTTCACCTAAAGATTTTGGTTTATATAAACCAAAATCAATCATGTGGAAAACATGATGTTATATATATAACCAACATAATAACCTTTAAATATATAAAAAGTTGTGGTATGGATAACGCAATAAGTTATTTATTTTTTTTTTTTTTTTGGTGTTTGGTAATCGAGGTGTTTATACTAGCTTGCTTATATCTCAACTAATCATTGGGATCTATTGAACATTCTATAAGTCCAATGGATCAAATAAATCACAATGTTATTGGTAAGTTATCTCAAGGTTTGAATCGAGGAACTCAAGGAATTGAGTAAACCTCCTTGATCATCAAGCCAACCTTATAGGATTATAACTCAATAAGTTTATCGTGCCTAAAACTTACGTCAAAAAATAGAGCTTGACTACATAGTAACATATAAATAAAAAGAACACACATGTTACAAAATTCTTAAAAGTTTAGATTCAATCATAATTTGTTAAATTTAAATCATGACTTATTTTAATCTTTCCATACATTAATTATACCCATAATATTCTACTTACTTCGTAAGAATATAATAAGAAATTTAATAAAACTTTAGCAAATATAGTAAGAAAAATCAACAATTAAAAATGACAGGATATAGTAAAACAGGGTGTATAATATATATTTTTAATAAGGGCATCATTTACATTTTTGAAAATATTGATGCCTGGATGATATAATCTAAACTTTAGGGGTCTAATTTTTTCCTGATATTTTAGAGGTAGTGCTGACAGCCACATATTAAATAGGTATGGTTGGCAGGTAGTTGGTTAAAATTTTTATCGATACCCAATTCTGGACCCATCACAATATGTCACGTAAAATTTAGTAAAGACGCAGGGACATAATAGTCAATGTGTACATGTGGTTGCAAGTGTGAAAGATTTTCTTCCAATTAAATACAAAAATTATATTAGAATAAAATAAAGCTTTAAGTTTCAATTTCTGATGCATTTGGTTCAGAGAATTTTGTATTACAAGGAAATATTGTATTACTGGAAAGATAGATTACCAAATAATCTTTAGAGAAATGTGTTTGGTTGGTTGGAATAAATTGGTGGGTATGTTATAATAATATGTTTGGTTGAGAGGATAAATGAGTGGGTATGTTATATAGATTACTAAATTGTCCTCTTTTTTAAATAATAATAAAATATTTTTTTATTATTTTTTAAATTACTTTTAACCTCCTATATTTGAAATTTTGCTAAAACACCCCAGCCATATAAAACTTTAATTTGTAGCAAAATCACCCCCACCCACCCCAAGCCACTACTGGCAGCCAGCCACCACCGTCGACAGCCGCAGTAATGGAGCACGACTGATCGGATCTGACTGATCGTGCGCCGATAAGGCCTAATCTGATCATGGATCAAAGATCCATAGCCAAAAACAGCTAGATCTGGCCATGAATATGGCCGTTTCATGGCCAGATTTGGTCATTTCCAGCAATGGATCACAAATCCATGGTTGGAAACATCCTTACCGGCACACAATCGGTGAGATTTCGCCGGTCTTGCCCTGATATGACGACTTTCGTTGACGGCCAGTGGTGGTGGCTAGCGGCCGACGATTGTCTTGGGTGGCTGGGGGTATTTTGTTAACTTTTAAACTTTTTGTGGTTGAAGTGTTTTAGCTATATTTTCAAATGTATGGGGTCTGGGTAATTGTTATTTGGTAGACATATGAGGGCAAATGTGTCCTAAATGATAAAAAATTAAGGGTAAAATAGGGTCAAAATTAAGATTACCTTGGTAATCTCATATTAACAACCCTTAGGAAGATAATCTGATTACCTCCAATATTACCAACAGTAAACACTATTTACAATAAAAGATTACATAATATTTTATTACTTGACAACCAAACGAGGGAATTTTGAAAATTAAACAATGATTACAGGATTAATCTTATAACACCCCGAACCAAACGCAACCTTCAAGTACTGAAATATACATATATAATTATATACACATAAACTTTCTAACTGTAGACATGCGCATAAATTTAATTATTTTTATACATTTCGAAATTTATATGTTTATGTATATAGTTCAAAATTCTAATAAAATAGTATCACATAAGAGTTCAATCATATTTATTTGATTGTTTAACTAAAATAAGAATAACTATAAAGTTTGCATAAATATTCACCTACACCTTTTAGAGTGNCAACCGAAGCTAACTCATCTTGATGAGAAGTGTACTCATGATCAGCTCCTTTTATGATATGTAGTTTATGATTTGGTATGAACTTGTCAAACTCCAAAGCATCATCTACAGGTACAATACTATCCATGGATCCATGAACTGTCAACACCCTGTAAATGACAGCAGGAACAATACAATATGTATTGAGTCAGCATCATAATCAACGTAATGGTAGTTTTTTTTTTTTGAACTGGTTAACGTGAAATATCAGAGCAGATTATATCATCAGTATATTCTTCCCACCTGACAGAATTCAAGTTTGATTAGGAGATGGAAAACCATGTCATAAGATGGGTGCCCAAAATGAATATATTTGAAAAAAAGAAAATGCATTTAAGGAGGGAATAAAATATAAATATCTTATAGGTGTGATATTCAGCATGAAATTCCAGGTACTAAAGAATCACATAAAAAGTTATTAACCGGTGTAATTATAGCCAACTCTTACATAGGAGTAATTTGATCTTGACTCAGAAAATTTACACAACTTAATGAGATGACAAGAATAAATATTTCAAATGCAAACACTATAGGATACTGGATGAGTAGTTGTAACAGAAAGAAAGACTAAATATAATTCAACAAAGATGACATCACAAACATATCGATGCTGAACAATTACTATTGAAATTGAGAATGGCATTACACACATATCTATCCTGATCCAATACTAATAAAAATGAGAATACGGAAGAAAATCCAGATTCAGTATACACTTTCACAAAAGAATTTGACTCCAACTCACATCTAACCGAAAACTATATCAGATTTGCATGCCCAGAAGAATCAGAATAAGAATTTGCAATTCTAACGTGGATAATAAACCTTCAGCAGGAAAGTTTGAAAAAGCCCCTTGAGAAGAAACTAGCATTTGGATATCTAGCTAGTTTCTTACTCTAGATATGTTAAAAAAGAAAAAAGAAGATAAAATAATGATTTTACCTAAAATCTCTCGAACTCTCGAACAAATTGTGAAATGAACAATGTAATCAAGCAGGGCATGCACAATTGACACGCAATAACATGATTACAGATTACAGATTGTAACTATAGGATGAATTACTTTCTTACCTGCAGTCTTGGTGAATTGTCAGGCATGCTGCAAGAATATCAGTGGTTAGGCGGTCCATTAAGCTTTCTTCAGTCACACGATACTTTAACTTTCCTGCAAATAGAAAAAGAAGGTTATCAGGTCAATTCACAGTAACGATAGTCCTAAGAATTGCTTGGTGACACAAGGTCATTGTAATTTCCAAAAACATGTAATCCCTTGTTTATCCTTTTTAAGATGTTAAATTTTAATTAATTAAGAAATTTCCAGAATATTGGAAAATAAAGAATATTAAGGAAGAACCAGGCCTGTAGTAATAAAAGACAAAATTACAAAAACACTATCATTAAGGACAAATTTGTGCTATATTTACCAGTTATAGCTTACCCCTTCTATTGTTAACATCAATGAATCCATTCTGCTTGATTCTTTGTAAATATCCTTGACCCAATCGACCTTCCATGCCTCTCCCTAGATGAAACCGGCCAGAAATATTGACAACTGTACATATGTCGTTATACTTCGAAGCATATAAAAGCACCACATTTCCTCCTGCAGTAACCTTTTTTCAGCAATATGGTACACTTGAAGAAATAACAAATAAATCAGACTAGTCAGTGTGACGACTCATAATGGCCCAAAGCCATTATACTAGGCAGAAGAGATGGCTACAAGCTAGTCTATACAGAAAGACACATCTTTGTGATCATACACTAGGTATTAATTTAAAGCAAAAAATATCCCACCAGAACTAGAAATTCGGGTCATAAGCATGATGCAGTTAATAAAAAGTTTCAATCAATCTATGGCTTTGCAATTTTTGGCCCTTATATGTAGTCAGACAAAGTTGCAGCAATGTGAAATTACTAAACTAGGTTGTGTTCAAAATCTTCCGATATGCTTGACAGGCTTAAAAAAATTCACTCAAGTCTTTTCTTGAAATCTCCCTGTATGTTAGACAGGCTTAAAATAATTCACTCAGTCTTTTCAAATTATTAATCTGATTTATGAATCGAGCCAGAGATGTATATTGAAAACCTTTGCTGTGCCCAATAATTGCAGTTATGGCACGTTCCTCCCTTCGAAAGTGTTGGACTACGGCACGCAAATCCTCAGCTTCCCTGCGGTAGTTACCATATTGAAAAGACCCTTCACTTTCCCTGGAAGGCCAAGTGAAAACAGCTGCTTATCATTCGATGAAAGAGCAAAAAAATGAATAATACAATTAGGGCATATTTACAAATTACAAGGGAATTACAATAAGAAAAATAAGAGAGAATTCATATGAAATGTTATTTCTTCATTTTTCCAAATTATTTGAGACTGAAGATGAATTCTGGCGTAGGCAAATGGGGAAAAGGGATGATTTAGTGGCTGGAAGATTACGGATCATTTGAATTTACAAACTGACATAGACCCTCTCGACTTGAATTTAAGTCCTTCAAAAGAAGACACCCAGACATTAGGATTCCAATTGAAGTTCCTAAAACAGCTGGTTCCTTTTAGTGCTATCAGCTTACCCATTCCCCGCAAAGTCAAAGCGGAAGGCACTAATTCCTTTTCTCTCTAGGGCAGCTGCAATGCTCACCATGGGGATACGATCCTATAGAGAAAAATAATCTTGGCTAAGTTTAGAACTGAAAAGAACTGGCTTACCATGAACAAAGATGAATGAAGATGACAAGGGCATACTACAAAAACAGTGACATGCCACAGATTCAATAAAAGATGATAAAATTACATAATGGCCTTTAAAGAATCATTTATAAAAGCAAATTGAAAATTAAGATATAAACAGACTTTCAAAGGGTTAAAATCAAACACAAAGTACACGAAATGTATATAGAGACTGCTTCTCTAAAGCGAACGTATGCATTTTTAAAAATTCAGATCATATTCACAGGCGCATATGATAAATTTGTGTACTACATGGACACCCACTGGTAATAAAAAAATGACCAACCTTTGAGGATTGAAATCCGTGGCACACAATAACAAGCTCCTTTGAACCCGTTTCATGCAAGATACCCACAAGATTCTCACCGTCGTTATTATGTATTATAACTCTCTGGTGATGAACCCCTGTGACAAAGCGAAAGAGCAGACATCTACAAAGCTTAATTTAGAGCTGTTCAGCTGATAAACTAAAACTACAGATGATTAAATTTTCATATATATCAAAAGGGTATTAATATATCGTTACTTGTATCAAATTATGATCGTCAAGTTAAAGGGAACACAATGTATTTACAACTGGCAAGCCTCACCTGAGAATTGAACTTTTTCTTGATGAGTCTGAGTCGACCGAGTCATGGTCGAAACACCAACTCACCTGACACTTGCTTAAGGAGAAACTTCGTAGAACAAACTAGCAAATAGAAGTCCGACTCAACCCCCGTCCTCATCTAACCTCCGTTGTTTAGTTAAGTTCAGTTAATAAGGCCCAAAAACAATATCTCCCTTTTTTGAATTTAACATTGAAAAAACATATTATTTATTAGTGTTATGATAAGATATTACAGCTAGGCCAAAAACACAGAAACTCCCGTCTTTTAATTTAACATTAAAAAAACATATTATTAGTGTTATGATATGATATTACATTTAGGGGGGGCTGATTGGTTGGGAGTTATCTCCCATTATTGGAGCAATTTCATCTTATATGACATTATTATGTTTGGTTGCCAAGTAAAATAAGATTTTGGTAATCCTCAAATGTCAATAGTAATCACTATGGGTTATATAGTTGATAATTTGAATACCACCATTTTTTTTAGGTATTTTGAGATTACTTAGTAATCTTATTTTTGTTACAATTTTATCCTTTATTAATAAAATTTTAGGACAATAATGCCCTTGTTATCTAAACAATTTACAAGAACACCCTCATTAATAAAAATTTTAATTTTTTAACAAAAACACCCCCACCCACTCAAGCCACTGCCAATCATCGCCAATAGTCGCCGTTACAGCACACAACCGGCCGGTAGTGCACCGATTTGATCGAAACGACCAGATGGTTGTGGATCTGGCCGTTTCTGGCCAGATCGATCAGATCCATGGATCTAATCGTTTCTGGCCAGATCAATCAGCTCCATGGATCTAGTCGTTTTTGGACAGATCCATGGCCATTAAGATCTACTACCATTTGGTTGTTTCTAGCCATTGATCTGGCCGAAAACAGCCAGATAGATGCACGATCGACCAGCTCCAGCCAATTGTGCCTTGTTACGATGACTAATAGTGGCAGCTAATAGTGGTGGCCAACGGTCGGCAATGGCTTGGGTGGGTGGGGGTGTTTTTGTTAAAATTTTAACTTTTATTGTAGCTGGGGTGTTTTAACAAAATCTCAAATGTAAGGGTTAAAATAAATAATCCAAATAATAATCATAATATTAAAAAAGAAGGGTAATTCAGTAATCTATATAACATACTCACCAATTTATATCAATCTAATCAAACACATTTAATATAACATCTGCAGTAATCTTCAAGGTAATTTATTTTTCCCATTAATATAAAATTCTCAGTAATACAACAATTACCCACCAACTGTTAATTTTGTCCATTAACTTAAAAAAGGATAGGATGGTAAATTCAAATACAGTCAAAGGGTAATAACATTTTTCTACTATATAGAAAATTACCATTTTATCCTTCTTTAGAAGGATTTTACTATCTTAACAGTAGATGGGAAACTGTTTGACAGATCTTAGATCTTAACAGTTAGTTGGCACTTGTATTTTTAAACTTTTTGGATAGTAAATTATCTTAGGGCAAAGTTAGGTGGGAAGATGTCATTCGGCCTATAAAAAAGGATATGAGAATACTCTTTCTACTTAAAAGTTATGGTATTATATTAAAAGAATCATCTTCACAAATAATATCCTAATTTTACATCATACTATCTAAAGGTGGAAAATTAACCCACCCGGCCCGACCCGTGGCAATTAAGCCAAATTGCAGGCTGAGTTAGGCCTGCCTCTTTGGCCAAAAGGGTTGGCCCAATCCGACCCGCCAACCCTAAACTGATGGGTTTTTTGTGCGGGCCAAGCCGGGTCAACCCGATTTTTTTTTAATTTTTTTTCTTTTGTGTAATTTTTTTTTTTTGCTAACGTTTCAAATATTAATAATTCAATTAAATTAATTTTTTTGTTAAAATTTCAAATATTAATTCAATTTTAATATAATTGAATTGTAACATAAGAAAAATGAGATTTATTCATTTATCAAAAAATAAAATAAGAAATTACAATAATTATTGCCTCGTTAAAAACCTTACCAAGAAAAACCCAATTGGGAGAAAAACTTGGTAAGGAAAAAAGAGTGCAATAATTGACAGTTAATTTATAAATTACAAATTTACAATTTACAAAATAACTAATTTGAGAGTTGACTAAGACTTCCCTCGTCTGTATCATCTAAATTACAAAATTAAAATGATTCTATTAAAGTATCATCGACAACCTCGTATTGATCTTGATGGCACGACCGTTCCCAATCTCGGAAACATATGAGTACTTCAATCAATTTTGGTGAAAGTTTAGTCCTTCTGTCATTTAAAATTCTTCCACTTGCACTAAATGTTTGTTCGGATGAGATGGTTGAGACAGGAACAGAGAAAACATCCAGGGCAAGTCTTGATAATACCGGAAAAATATATTTTCTGGTTTTCTAATATTTTAAGACATCAAAGTTGGTTCTTTGTTGTGGATCTGTTGGTAAACGTCGGGGGTTCCCAAATATTGGTAAAACTCATTACTCTGTAGCTACATGGAGGACAGTATATTCGTTGCTGATGCTTCTGAAGAGGGGGCTATGCTGCGGGTTCGAGTCCTCTTCGGCCTATTAAGTGCACTCCAGGAGTCAAAATCTTCATTTGTGTCTTCTAATGCTACTTCCTCGGGTATTTCACCTTTTCGCTGGTTCCCATACATGTTTTCATATTACAAATATATATCTGCAAGACATTGTCTTATCTCTCCTAGTTGAGGCATATGCTTCGTTTTGTAAGTTTTCACTTAACGTGTCTAAACCATTTTCTAAACGCGCTAATTTAATTCTAGGATCAAATATGACAGTTAAACAAAAGAAAAAAAGAATGAGTTTCCAATATTTTTAAAATTTTAATTCCATTGTCTCTATTGGTCCCGCTAAAATTTCATTGTTTCTGATTTTTTTTTTTTTTAAATAAATCTGAAATTTTTATAATTGTATGTATTACCAAATACCAATGGACTAGTATGATAATACACACCAAAAAGTTTTAAAGTAGATTGATAAAAATTTTTAAGAAAAGAATGAAAATTTTGAACTATATGCTAATCACTGTCTACCAAATAATGAGGATCCCTATTATTTGCTACAAAATAACTAATTAAATTTGCATAAGGTAAACATGAATCAATCATTAAATAAGTACTATTACATCTAATAGGCATGTCTAATGCAAAAGTTCTATGAGACATATTTGATTTTATACAAGCATATTGAAATTCAGCATTTCTTCTATTACTTCTAGTAATTCAAGCTAAAAAATCCCTAATTCTATCAATATTATTTCTAATTTTTTTTCATACCACTTTTCACAATTAATTAATAATGTGGCATCCACAACGTTGGTGAAAAAACTTCAAATTGTCATAAAAAGGAAAATTACTTTAAAAAAATCTATAGCTCTACTGTTAGCACTTACATTATCTAAAGTTAAACTTATCACTTTGTGAACAATATCATAATCTTCTAAAACTTCAACAATTTTATTATAAATTTGTTGACCACTATGATCCACTCCATTAATCTAAATCTCAATAATGATTTATTTTATTTACATTCGTTATCAAAATAATGACTAGTCACACAAATATAATTTTGTTTAGCTCTACTACTCCAAATATCGGCGATTAGAGCCACACTATGTATTTTATTTCTTAATTCTAATTTCATTTTCCCAAATAATTTTATTAAATCATTTCTAGTTACAGTTTTATAATAACTTTTAAATCCTAGAAAAAATGAATTTTTAATAAATCTTTCAAAATATTTATCTTCAGTCACATTAATATATTGATCAGTTGCAGTAATATATAAAGCTAATTATTCCATATATACATCAGAATTATAACGCCGAGTAATACTCATATTAGTTATTTGAGTTTAATTGGTTTCTCTATTTCCACGTTGATTCATATGCTTACTAACATGCCTTTTTAAAGTACTAGTACCATTACCTACATCAGCTTTATAAATATTTCCACAATACTTGCATCTTGCTTTCTTCACTTGAACTCCATTTTCTATCTCGTAAAACTTTTCGAAATGCATCCAAACGTCTGATGTGTGCCTGTCGTCGGTTCCAACTGCAGTTGATGAACCCACTTTTGCTTGAGATAGAGTTGGACGAGGACGACAATTATGAGGAAAACTTCTAGAACCATTGAGAGCTATAGCAACATGGGGAGGAAGGAGGAGAATATTATGAGGTGTATCGGATTTTGAGAATGGGAAAGCAGGACTGTTTAAATCTACTGCAGTAAATTCAGGGGGACTAGGATAATTTTTCTCATCATAGAAATTGATGGGATGGAAATATCTATCCATTCTAGTTAAAAAAAAAAAAAAAATTGGATATAAAAGAAATAAAGAATTAAAGAAGAAGAATTGGAATTTGGAAATATGAATTGAAAATTGCAAAAACTAATAAAAATTAAAATGAGAGCAAATTGAGAGGAAATTGACAACAAAGAGATTGAGAGATTTCAATAGAGAATTTAGGAATTGAGATGTGAGGAAATATGAGAGTTTAGGCCCTATTTATAGAAAAAAAAATGGGAAAAGAAGATGACCAGAAAGAGCCCGCCAACTGTTATAAAACGGTTATATTTCAAGGGTAAAATGGGTTTTTGTAAAAAAAAAAAAAAAAAATTTAATTTTTTTGGTCCAACCCATGGGTCAACCCGACGGCGGGTTGGACAGGTTTTGAAAAAAATAAAATAAAAAACCCGCTAGGTCGTCGGGTTGGCCTATGAAGGCCCAACCCACCCGGCAAGGTATACTTGGGCCAGGTTAGGGTTGAACCGTCTAACCTAGACCATTTGTTCCATCTCTAACTGGGAGAATGAAAACGAGAGAAGAGTGTTAAAAGAAATTTAATTTTTAATTTGTTAATCAAAATAATGTTTATGTGACTAGGAGAAGGAAAATGAGAGAAGAGAGAACCACCCTTGGGTCTTGGGTGATCGAGTGGTTGAATATGAATTCTTTTGAAATTACCTAAGAGGTTTTAAGTTCGATTTACCTCGTTTGTTAATGGGAGTAGCTACTTAAAGTTTATTTGGCTGTTAAATTCAGCCTTATGGATTAGTTGAGATGCGTACAAATTGACCTAGACACCCATGTCATGAAAAAAAAAATAATAAAATAAAATGAGAGAAGAGTGTTAAAGGTCATGTTCCCACCCTAAGTATGGCGAAACTAAAATTCCTATCCTACGTTTGAGACATTTCACGCATCCATCATTAGCTTCCATTAATGACCAAATTGCCCTTGAATTTTCATTATCATAATTCATGATAATAGTTATCAAGAATAGATCTCCAATTAATCTTTAATTCAAAATTAATTAAATCTTGTTGAATTGGTACCCAACTAATCCCACAGGGCCTTGGACCAGTGCTACGAGCGTTTGGACTCGAATGGGATCTTCGTAAAGTCGATTATTATGAGTATTACGACGGATTTGATAGGGAGGTATAGCGGCAAAACAAGGGGATTCATTAGCCCGTTATTTAGTCCGAATGGGCGAAATGCGGGAATCCATAAAAATTATTCAATAAGTTTGGAAGGAATTCCAGGGGGGCCTATGAGAATTAAGAAATTTGATGCTTTGATAGAGAAACAACTCAGAATGAACAGATTTTGAAAATCGATTCATTAGTTAAAAAAAACCCTCTCCTACTTTTGAATTGTCGAAAATTAGAAGTCAACGACCGATTCTTATTATGAACCAAAGTAACTCGAACTCAGAATTTCTTGAATAATATACTTAAAAATCTTTATTTAACCACTCGACCGTCTAAAGGTGATTAAGACTAAAACATGTCAATCTCATTAAAACTTAATTATTATTATTATTATTATTATTATTATAAAGTTAAAACACAATCCTAATTTCTCTCAGTTACCATCATCATATTCTTTCTACCGTTTTCACCTCCATTAATGAAATTTCTCAACTTCACTTGCAAAAAATGGATATTAGCCAATAATGACTGGAAACATGATTGATATTGAAAGAAAAAAGAAGGTAGAAAAATGGAAAATTGAAATTAAAAACAAAAAAAAAAAAAAATTCAATTGCGAAAACTGGTTATTGAAAGAAAAAAGAATGTAGCAAAATAATGAAAATGAAATTGCGATGGCTCAACGGTCAGCTAAAACTCTTGAGTGTATTTCTCAGAGATCTTGAGTTCGATCCACCTGAGTTGCTGATAGGGGTGGTTATTGATGAGATTTAGGTGGATCAGGGGTGGCCATTGATGAGATTTAGGTGGATCAAGGGTGGCCATTGATGAGATTTAGGGAGGGAGGGAATATTATGAGGTATATCGGATTCTGAGAACGGGAAAACAGAATTGTTTAAATCTACTGCATTTATGTTAGTAAAATATAAGAGTTTATGCCGTATTTATAGAAAAAATGGGAAATGAAAATAACCAAAAAGACTCCTTTAACTTCTATATTTCAAAGGTAAATTGAGTTTTTGCCAAAAAAAATAATAATAATAATAATTTTTTTTGTCCAATCCATGAGTAAACCTGGTGGGTTAAAAACCCTCAACCCGACGGATTGGATGGGTTTTGAAAAAAAAAAAAAAAATAATCCGTCGAGTCGCCAGGTTGGCCTATGAAGGCCCAACCCGCCCAACGGGGTATACCTGGGTTGAGGAGGGCCAGGTTAGGGTTGACCCGCCTAACCCAGATCATTTGTTCCACCTCTATTACTATCATGTCATTTCTGTCATCAACCTTTTTAATTTATCAATGCACTTATTTTTCTGAACATCATAAAATTTCAACCTTGTAACTTGAATATATGATGAAGATTCCAAAATTTCATAGTGAAAAAAAAAAATGGTAATCATATAGGTTTTTTTTTCAAATGTTTAATGGAGGTATCACCTTAAAAATGTGGAAACTTGAGCAAAGTTACAATTTTATTAATTTTTCTTAAATAATAATAAATGATTTCTGTATGAAAAACTAATGACAACTGAAAAGGCATCACATGAACAAATTAGTAGAAGAAGAAGAATAGTGAAAATATTCAGTGAGATGGTTGTCCTGTACAAGGAATTATCTCATGCCTGTCTAACATACAAAATCACAGAACCGGTGTGGTAGCATCTTTGAATTTCTTTCCACCGAATCCTCATCGAACATAAACAGAAAAATCTCTTCCTCCACAAAACAAGCAAAAATATTAATAAAATAAAAATAAATACTAATCAGAAAGGAACCAAATTTTAAATTGAACATTATTCTGAACCGTATAAGCAAAGACCAGTTGAGAAGAATACGTAAAAAGGAGGAGACAGCATACACATCCCAACGAACTTAAAAATAACTTGCCAAGGTAATGCTCTACTGCCATTAACTTCTTCTATAGCTTCTGTTAAATTTTCGAACACATGGTTATACATGAAATAGTCTACCAGAAATGGAACTACAGTTCTCGAACAAAAAGGCCAGTAACTAAATTATGCACATTCAATTCAATAAATAGCGGCAGCCTTACCAGCCTCTCTCAGACTATGATCCCACAGGTGCAATGCCTTTGGACTTAGCGGCAGCAGTTGCAGCTGCAGCTGCCGCAGCTGCTGCTGCAGCGGCTGATGCAGCTGGATTAGGAGTCGATGGAGGTTGCACTGGGTTGGATTGCGAACTGTTCTGTTGTGCAACTATCTGCTGAGGTTGCTGCTGCTGCTGTGAATTGACTTGGGCAAGTAAACTTTTGATCTGATTTCCAGTAAGTGTCTCCTGCTCGAGCAATGCATTAGCCAGTGCATGGAGCTCCTTGTTATGGGTGGTGAGAATAGTTTTTGCATTGTTATAAGCCCTTTCCAGAAAGTACTTCACTTCTTTCTCAATAAGGAGCCTAGTCTCTGTGCTCATGCTCTTACCATTGTCATCATAATTGTGAGTGACAACACCAACTTCTTTACTCATGCCATATTTTGTAACCATTGCTCTTGCAAGGCTAGTTGCTTGCTTTAGATCAGAAGATGCACCAGAAGTAACTTCATTTTCTCCAAAGATGAGCTCTTCTGCAACCCTTCCCCCCATGCAAACATCAAGTCGAGCAAGCATCTGCTTGCGGGAAATGCTTGTTTCATCCTTATCAGGCAATTGGGAAACCATGCCAAGGGACATTCCTCGGGGAACTATTGTTGCTTTGTGAACTGGAAGCGCCCCATCGGTATGGATGGCCACAAGAGCATGACCACCCTCATGGAAAGCTGTCAGTGTCCGTGATTCATCAGAGATGACAGCTGACTTGCGTTCACTTCCCATCATGATCTTGTCCTTTGCATACTCCAGATCAGCCATAGTCACAGCTTTGGCTCCATCCATTGCAGCCTTCAGTGCAGCAATATTGACTAGGTTTGCAAGATCAGCACCTGAGAACCCAGGAGTCCCTCTAGCAATGATCATCAAATCAACATCATCAGCCTTCAAGACCTGTAATTTAAAAAAAAAAAAAAANAAACCAAAGAAATATTATAAACAGAGGTTGCACATGGAGATTAAGAAGAAGACCCGAATCTTCTGCAGGCTCTACCTTTTCATCTTTTTCAGCTTCAATGCTCCAATAATATTGCTTGCTCAACTCGATAAATCTCACATGGAGATTGATGTTGGATTGATCGTTGATATGGGTTCATGGGAGGGGAGGATGATGCAAAGCTCTATTTCCATGGCAATTTCAGATTTTTACAGTGTATATGGTTACTACAAAACAAGAATTGTTCTTCGCACAAGTGATTCCAAAGGACAACATCTACTTGCTATATCTTCCGGTGAGCTTTTATAGTTGATTTTCAACGATCATATCATGTTTTAACAACTGACTCCAGCTGCTTCACTGTGTTATTATTTTATGTAGACTTTTCTTTTTCTTCATTATTTGCGGTGAGATTTCTCATCACCAACTGTTGTGTATATAAATTCATCTCGATATTTTAAAAAATATATGCTATGGTACTTGAATTTGTTGAAGATTGCATGTGTTATATTATAGTATAATGTATTTATAGAATTTACGATGAGAGAAAAACATTCAAGAGAATGCAAAATTTTAAACTTTTAAGATGACTCTGCATATTCCAATATTACATAGACAAATATACTAATTTTTAAAACTGTCTATCTCTTTTATCGGTGATTGCACCTTGGATTTGACATACTTCATTAATTAATTATGAGTAAACGACATGTTGGCACCCAAGCTTTAGTGAAATCCCAGTTGGTACCTCTGGTTTCATAAATTCCAAACTCCCACCCTTAAATGGACGCCGTTTCATTTTTTAACCGTTAAAGGCTAAAATGGTCCTTTCCTTCACTGTGGCGCTTTCTCTCTCTCTCTCTCTCTCTCTCTCTCTCTCTCTCTCTACACTCTTTCTTCACCAAGGCCACACACAGCTGCCCCTGTCATGCGGAGGGAAAAAACTGACAATTTGTAGAGGAAAACGTCACAAAGTACAGCTATCATGCAACCCTTGGAGTAGATCGTGGACAACAAATGGTGAGTGGGGATGGCTGGTGGAGGGGTGTGCTTTGCTGAGTAGAGGACAAGGGTTCGTATGATGGTGGTATGGGAGATGATGAAGAAGAAGGTGTAAGGGTAGTTTGGTAAAAGAGCCATTTGCCCCTGTGTGAGAACCCGTTCATCACTAACAATGTCCATTTAAGAGTGGGAATATAAAATTTACGAAATCAGGGACACCAACCTGGGATTTCACTAAACCTTGGGTGGGAACATGTCGTTTACTCTTTAATTATTAATGTAGTATATACTTTACTTTTATGCCACTTGCACTAAGAATAACTAAGTCAAAATAATAATTAATTTTATAACTACATCTCTATTAAATTATAACTTTTTTGCAGTAATAAAATTAGTTTGATCTCACTACTGTGACTATAAAGATGTTCTACTATATAAAGGATTTTAAAAGGCATATTAGAGTAGTTTTTAAAAAGAGTATATTAGAGTAGTTTTTAAAATTGAAAATTGGTTGTGTGTCTATTTGTAAAATACCTTAAATTGAATATAAATCATAAAATGATTTTATATAAATAAGTATTTAATTAAATTATTATTTTTTAATTTAAAATTATAATTTCTACCTTAGAATCCTAAGTGACTAAATGTCTTGCACCATGCAGCTGTTGATCTTTTGGAAAATTTCAACTTGAAGGCAATCATATCCATAGGTGCACAATCATCAATGGAAACGAAATTTTTGGGTGAGCTAGGAGAGTTTTTATCCTGCATTTGGTTGAGTCCTTGCAAGATAAAAACATCCATATTGCATACAAAAGCTCGCTTGCCGTCTCATCAGCTTATAATCAAATCAATGAAGAGCTGAACAAACTCATGGCATTCGGACCAACAGTTTTTATTGTGCATATGTCACCTATTCTCGCATCTCGTTTATTCATGAGTGCAAGGAAATTAGGAATGATGAAAAAAGGTTATGCTTGGATCCTGACTGTAAATAGTATGAATATGAATCACTTGCATTCCACAAGATCGTTTGAGGTTATGGACTCAATGCAAGGAGTGATCGGTCTCAAATCCTATGTTCCACCTTCAAAGGAGCTACACAATTTTACTGCAAGATGGAGAAAAAAATTTCTTCTTGAAACAGATATGGAAGTAATGGAGTTAACCCCATTTTGTATATTTGCCTATGATGTTGCTTGGGGTCTGGCAAAAGCAGTTGAAAGGACAAGGACTAAAGGAATACTCCTTACAGAAATACTTTTGTGTAGTAAATTCAAAGGTTTAAGTGGCGATTTTCAATTTATTAATGGGAAACTAGTCGTAAATGCATTTGAGATAGTGAATATCATAGGAAAAGGGGAACGAAGAGTTGGGTTTTGTACTCCTGAAGGAAAAATTGCTGGAGAAGTATATTTATCCATTCATGGAAGAGAATTATCATTGAGTAATACTTCTGGTGGACTTGAAGATATTATATGGCCTGGAGGATCTGCTACAATTCCAAAAGGTTCAATCACAAAAATGAGCATCAGAAAGCTTAGAATTGCTGTTCCACGGAGTGTTGGATTCCCTGAATTGGTGAACGTAGATCGTAACCTTCAATCTAATGTAACATCAGCAACAGGATTCTGCATAGATGTATTCAAGGCTGCTATTGAAGGGGCAGAGCTTGAGCTTGAGCTTGAAGTAGATTATGAGTTTATACCATTTCTGAATGCAACTGGGGAGAATATTGGGTCTTATGGTGAACTTATTGACGAGGTCTATCTTCAGGTAAGCTTGTCACAGGTTTATATATATATATATAATCCTTTTTTATCCAAAAACACAAAACTTGTTTTCTTTGATATATCTTCTTAACAATTTTTAAACCAATAATGTTGCTTGATGTTACAATAATTTTCTCTACATTCTTTTGCATCTTTTGGGGAAAAAAAATAGAAATATGATGGTGCTGTTGGAGATATAACAATGACGGCAAACAGAAGTTTATATGTTGATTTTACAATACCTTATACTGATTTGGGAATGGGAACTATCGCCCCAAAAAACAACAAAAACATGTGGATTTTCTTGAAGCCGCTAACGGGTGATCTTTGGTTATCAAGTGCTGGCTTTTTTATCTTAACCGGCATTGTCATTTGGCTAATTGAACGTCCTATTAACAATGAATTCCAAGGTCCAACATCTCACCAAATTGGAATGATTTTCTGGTTCTCCTTTTCAACCCTAGCTTTTGCTCACAGTAAGCACTTTCTCATTGCACAATTCTTGATAAAAATTTCATTATTTAGGTTACTCACACCATACACATTAATTTAATTGTTACAGAGGAGAAGCTGTTAAGTAATTTTTCAAGATTTGTGGTGATCGTGTGGGTGTTCGTCGTGCTTATATTGACTTCTAGTTATACTGCAACTTTGACTTCAATGATTACAGTTCAACAGATTCAACTGAACTTAAAGGAGAATTATATAGGATACCAAACCAATAATTCCATCGTCAAGGGAGTCACTAGTAACCTGAATTTCAAGAATTCTAATATTCGACCATTCTGTTCTCCTGAAGAGTATGCTAATGCTTTATCAAGAGGAAGTAAGAAGGGCGGTGTCTCTGCTATCATTGATGAGATACCATACATCAAAATCTTCCTTGCAAAGTATTCTGCAGATTATGCCATGATTGGATCCACTTCTACCACAAATGGCTTTGCTTTTGTGAGTATCATAAAACCTTTTTTTTTCTTATGTATTTGAAATATATTTGTGTGTGTGTGTGTGTGTGTTTGACTACTACCGATTTTTCAGGCTTTTCGTAAAGGTTCTCCGTTGGTTCCTTACATGTCTAGGGCAATTGCCAAACTAAGAGAAAATGGAAAGCTTATGAAGTTGGAGCACGAATGGTTTAAGAGACACTCAACCTTCGCATCTGAGGACGATGACCCTTCAAGTGTTGTGAAGCCTCTTACCCTTGATAGCTTTCGTGGTTTATTCCTTATCAGTGGAGTCTCTTCAGCTTTAGCTCTAGCGGTGCTCTATAGTTTTAAGCTTTACAAAAACTGGCACTTTGTGGAGAACTTTGACCTCAGAGACATTATGTGGGGACGAATAAAGTTTGTAATAGAGTACCTCTCTATAAACAACTAGAAAATCGATGTAAAAAGAGTACCTCAGAGAGGCCTTGTGAACTTTAGAGTAGAGGTGTAGGTGTAAATGAATTTTTTTTTTATTTAAGAAGTATTTTTTTAGTCAAATAAATTGGTGGTATACAAACAATTATAAAAAGCCATAAAAGCAAACAAAAACAAGTAATTTGAAGTTGTTTATTTGAATCAAAAAGAACTAGACGAGGTAAAGGGTTTCAGAAGAGTTTCTTATAAATTCTAGGAAGTTCAACAGATTCAAAGGAGAATTATATATAGGATACCAAAGGAATTCCATCACCAAGCCAGTCATTAGCAACCTGAATTTCAAAAATTCTAATCTTCAACCATTTACTCCTCCCCAAGAGTAGCCGATGCTTTATCAAACCGCGTCTCTTCTATCATTGATCATATACCATACATCAAAATCTTCCTTGAGAATTAATCGGCAGATTGGATCCACTTCTAACACAAATGGCTTTGCTTTTGTGAGTACCATACAATTTTAACCAGAATTTGACAATCGCTCTTTCAGGTTTTTCGGAAAGGTTAACCATTGGTTCTTACATGTCTAGAGCAATTGCCGGACTAAGAGAAAATGGAAAGCTTATGAAGATGGAGCGAATGGTTTAAGATTTAGCTCTAGGCTTGCTTTATAGTTTTCAGCTTTACAAAAACTGGCGTTTTGTGTAGACCTTTATAGAAATTATTTGTGGCCGAATTCAGTTTGAATAACTAGAAAAACGATGTAATATTACAACTTGACACTTACGTTTAGTTGTTTGATTATTTCTGATTTTGTGAGTGTTCAGGTTCCTTCTTTCAATTTATCCTAAGAATTCAACCATCCATAATGCCCAAATGACACCAGATATTCCACCAAAAAAGAACCCTCCAGTGAACTTGGCCCAACCATCAGCAGTTTGCAACTGGTCAGGCTCCTTCTTCCTTCCTGTCAAGGTCAGACCTGGGGCAATTGAGGGCTCTCCTTCGTTAAAAGAAGAAATTCCATACATTGTCAGGCAAATGCTCAGGATCACAACTAGTCCACCTGCTGCCAAAGACCCTGCTGCTCCTGCATATTCTGTGTTTCTCAATGGGCCTGCCTTAACAAATGGGCCTACAAGAAGGAACCCATGGGCCAACCCCACCTCTATTCCTGTAAGCTGGGAGGTTGGAGAGGTACCATGCAATCAATGGACTTGATGTGACTGGAGTCTCAGGACTTCCAATGAAAGGGTCACCATTAATTGGCTGAATAACTTGGAAAGTTGGCTGCACGAAAAGAGAAATCAAAATGAAGGTCTTACTGAATTCAAGTATACAATATAATGAAATTCCTGAATCCTAATGAAACATCAATGGTTTGGTTACCTTATCAGCCTGGACAGATTTGACAGTGAAACGAGGGGCTCTCTTGGAGGGCGCAAGTGTAAATGGAGCTCCAGAAATACCCTTTGGTGTGACTAGTCCTCTTGTGACTGAAGAAGTGAAGCTACTCTTTAGTTGGCTAGCCATTGGAGAGGCAACAGCAGAACCATCTAAGGCACAAAATCATATATAGAGAGAGCATGTTTCAATCGGTAAACCCTGCAAATAATCAAATCTTAATCAAAAAGCACTATTGAAACTACTTATTAGGTAATAGTCTACAGAAGATTTCAATTACTTTCAAATATATTACCTGAAAACATCAGCTGAGGCCTGAGAAGCAGCCCCCATAGTAAGTCCGAAAACAGGATCTTTTGCCTTCTCACCAGAACCAGAAACAGGATGTGCTTTCATCTAAAGCAAAAAAGATTCTTAAATTCGTATTGGTGAGCAACATTATTAAACAACCAAGAAACATTTCAATGTTTATCAATAGGCATGCTTGATGCTTCTTTTCAGTAAACCTCGACGAAGCTATGAGGAAATTTATTATAACTTATTCAGGGGACACAATGAGCCTTTAGCCCTTAAAAAAAGTAAAATAAAATTACTACAAAGAAAGTTTCCTAGTACACTTACCATTTTTCCTTGCTTAAACGATTCATCAGAAGGTGATGACCCATCTGAATATTTGCCTGAACAAAACAACCGCATTCTCCTTCAATAGTATTCTTAATAATTAACCAGTTAAAAATGAAATAACTAATTTGATGGGTATGTACCTCCACTGAAAGGAAAGCCATCACCAACAGAAACAGGAGCATCTATGAGATAATCCTGACAATTTCAAACATATTTAAACAATTTAAATGAGTTAAATTATATTCAAGTTATGAAAAAGATGAAAATTAATGATCAAACCGAGAATGGAATGTACATCTTCATTGGATTTGCAAATGATTCTTGGACATTTTCTGGGGGCCTTGTGAAATTTAGAGTGGAGGTGTCCAGGAAGAAACGAAAATGGAGAAGCAGTAGGAGATTGAGGGAGGAGTTGAAGATGAAAATGAGAGTGAAGAGATGAAGTTATAGGTTGAATAGCCATGGAGGAATGAGAATGTTTGGCGTGCAATAAACAAACATTCAAAGAGACCGTTAACCGTTGGCTTTAATATGAAAACTCAAGGGACAACTTGGTCCAAATAAACTTGTGCAAGAGATAGGGATTCTCTGGCTCTCATTCCTTAAAATCAAAGCACAAGTTTTTCATATAATTATGGTTACATATTATCACATTCATCTTCTATTTCTATAATTAATTAGATAAATATATTATTATTTCTAAATTAATTTAAATCATAGCATTATCAGTGGAAGTAATTAAATTAAAAAAAATAAGGGTAAAAGTATACTAATAATTTCCTTTTTAATGAAATCTTATTTTTTACATTTTTTTGTTAATTNTTCAATTAATATTTAAAAACCATTTCTAAAATTAAAAATATAAAAAAATTTGAAATTTATTAATATTTAAAAATAAACATTATTAAAAAAGGCGGGCTTGGGCCGGGCCTGCGGTTATAAAAAACCCGTTGGGCCGGGCTTGGGCTTTGCCTATCATACCCGTAGCGGGCACGGGCCGGGCTTGGGCCTGTGTCATGAGGTCGGGCTTGGGCCTGGGCCAAGGGGTACCCGATCCCGGCCCGGCCCATTGCCATCACTAATGAGAACTCAAGGGACAACTTGGCCCAAATAAACTTGTGCAAGAGATAGGGATTCTCTGGCTCTCATTCCTTAAAATCAAAGCACAAAGTTTTTCGCATAATTATGGGTACATATTATCACATTCATCTTCTATTTCCATAATTAATTAGATAAATATATTATTATTTCTAAATTAATTTAAATCATAGCATTATCGGTGGAAATAATTAAATTAAAAAAAATAAGGGTAAAAGTATACTAATAATTTCTTTTTTAATGAAATCTTATTTTTTTACTTTTTTTTGTTAACTGAGGTGTCCGAGTCAGTTTACGTGCACCTCAACTAATCTTCAAGGGAAACTATCTCACAACAATCAACCGCTACGGCCTCAGAGGTAAATCATGGGCAAAAATAAATCAGGGCAATTTTTTTAATGAAATCTTATTATTTATTTTGTTATTTCTCATTCATGATTATTTTATTGTTTCTCAACCAGAATAGAATTAGGTTAAAAAGATTAAGAAAATGACAATTTTGAAATAAATTAAAATTTTTAATATAATATTTTTAATCAATATTGGAGCTTACAAAGAGATTGCATGGAGCTTGAATAACACCACTCCGTCCTAATTCCAATTCACATCAAAAATAAACTTTATATTTGGGATTTAGTCAAATTTATTGGTAAAAAAAAAAAAAATATTAAACTAGAATAGTTAATAAAAATTGAGTTTTGCTTTTGTAGTTCGTGTTTCATATGGGCTAATTATTTGAATAAAACTAAGATGATAATATTTGAATGATTAAAAACTCATTAATTTAACAACTCCAATATAATACCACTAAATTAATTCTATATACATATTTACATTAATACTTATTTATAATCCTTAAAGATTATTGTAGTTTGTACTTTGTATATCCATCCTCATTGTTAAAAACTTGTATCTTTCATTTTATCAATCTTAATGAAAGGAATTTTTTTGTTTCTCATTATTTTTTATTAAAAAAAGATTTCAGAATCCTAATTTAAAATGAATTTTTATCTTATCATTCTTTATCAAAAAATAAATTAATATATAGGTCTCTACCCCTATCGCTAGTATCATTTGCAACATTTTTTTTCTTGATATTAAAACAAAAAAAAAAATTAGCTCTCCCCGAGTTAAATTTTTGGTTTCACCCCTGTTGAAACCCTAAACCCTTTTACATGTTTGGGATTCATTTTTTTTTTTTTTTTTTTTAAGATTTAAAATATTCAGAAATGGTGGAAGGTAGTTTCAACTCAATCAATGGAAAAACAATAATAATGAAAAGGTACCCATTCATTGGTAGCCCAATGGTAAGGGCGAATTAAGAAGTTTGTGCATATCTTTAACCTACAGTATCAGGTTTGATTCTTCACTATATACAAAAATAGTACATTTACTTATGATCTACTTAGGGCGTTAAGGCAGTGAGGATTAGTCGAAGTATAATAAATTGATTCAGACACCCAGTTAACAAAAACAAAAAAAATCATAAAAAGGTAAGTTTAGTTTTTATTTTTATTTTCTAATTATCTTTTCTTTAATCTTTTGGCATCTACATTCTTGGTTTAAAAAAAAAAAAAAATCATGAAAACAGGAAGTATGCTAATACGAACAAGGCTCCCATCATCCTCTTCTCGCAACAAACGATTTTTTGCTTAACAACTTTGAAACGTTGTTCTTGTTTCTACTGTTTAATGGTGTTGAATGAGAAATTATAGTTATTTTGAATATTTGTATATCAACAAACAAATATGTTACACTCTTTATAATTAAAGTCAATCAATTTGTTTTTACCAAAGTCTTTAGCCGCGTGGGAAACTTTCTAAGGAATCAATTTTCTATTCAATATAGAAACATGATTAATCAAACTTCGTAAGCGTGTTCACCCAAACTTGCTTCACACTTTTCAGTCAAAACTAATTTTCTTCTACAAATTAATTGTTAGAAAAGTCAGGATTTCAAGTAAGGGAGGACGAAATTAAAAAATATAATATTCTTTAAAATATTTTCCTAATGATAAATGTATTGATAATTTTAATTTGTTGTTGTTCAATACAATTATAATTAAAACAAATCATACTAACATAAAAATAAATAAATAAAACTCATAAAAAAATCCTCTTCTTGCAACAAACTCATAAACTTTAATATATATATATAGACACACACACTCATACATTTGTTATCAAATCTTAGAAACTAAAATGAATTCTTTCATCAGTGCATATCTGATATTCTAAATTTTTTGAATCAGTGGTAGTTTATATAGATTCCTTGCTTGCTTCTTAGAAATTTCTGTTTAGTTCTCAAAGTGTTTCCAAGTCCACTCGAGACCAAGACTATTGGGTTGGAATACTGGAGTTGTCATAATTCATAAGCATATATAAACCAAAGAAACATTATAAACTAACAGAGGTTGCACATGAGACCAGGACTGTCATAATTCATAAACACATATAAACCAAAGAAATATTATAAACAGAGGTTGCACATGGAGATTAAGAAGAAGACCCGAATCTTCTGCAGGCTCTACCTTTTCATCTTTTTCAGCTTCAATGCTCCAATAATATTGCTTGCTCAACTCTATAAATCTCACTTGGAGATTGATGTTGGATTGATCGTTGATATGGGTTCATGGGAGGGGAGGATGATGCAAAGCTCTATTTCCATGTCAATTTCAGATTTTTACAGTGTAAATGGTTACTACAAAACAAGAATTGTTCTTCGCACAAGGGATTCCAAAGGACAACATCTACTTGCTATATCTTCCGGTGAGGCTTTATAGTTGATTTTCAACGATCATATCATGTTTTAACAACTGACTCCAGCTGCTTCACTGTGTTATTATTTTATGTATACTTTTCTTTTTTCGTTCATGATTTTCGGTGAGATTTCTCATCACCAACTGTTGTGTATACAATTAACGAATAATATTTTAAATTGAAAACTAATAATTAATAATGTATATTACACGTGTTTATAATTAATGTGTTTATATTGAAGAAGAGGAAAAAAAAAAAAAGTAGTACTACACATGCAACATTTTTCATATAATATGATGTGATAAAAGATGATTTAGTGAACATTTATTTTTAATTTAAAATCAATCAATCATCTTTTACCACATCATATTGTATGAGAAATATTGTATAAAAAAATTGTATGTATAGTATTATGCAATAAAAAATAATATTTTAAATTGGAAATTAATAATTAATAATGTATATTACACGTGTTTATAATTAATAATTTGTTTTACAGTAGAACTTGTCTATAGTAATACTTTATATAAGAACAATAATACTTTGGGTACTAACGGATTTTACTAACCAGTGCACTAACTTAAAGCATAGTACGGGTACCATACGTATAGTACGGGTACCATACGTATAGTACGGGTACCATATGTAATTTTAACAAAAGTTAGTATACTAGTTAGTAAAATCCGTTAGTACGCATAACATTACCCATATAAGAATAACCTTCATATAGTAATACTTTATATAAAAATAATTAATAATGTATATTACACGTGTTTATAATTAATAAACTGTTTATCTCTTTTATCAATGACTGCATCTTGGATTTGACATACTCTATTAATTAATTATCAGTGGTGTGCATACTTTACCTTTATATCATTTGCACTAAAAATAACTAAGTCAAAATAATAATTTAATTTTATAACTACACCTCTATTAAATTATAATTTTTTCGTAGTAATAAAATTAGTTTAATTCTATCACTATGACTATAAAGATGTTTTTACTGTATAAAGGATTTTAAAGAGTATATTAGAGTAGTTATTAAAATTGAAAATTGGTTATGTAAGTGTCTATTAGTAAAATACCTTAAATTGAATATAAATCATAAAATGATTTTATATAAATAAGTATTTAATTAAAATAGTTTTTTTTTTTAATTTAAAATTATACTTAATTTCTACCTTAGAATCCTAAGTGATTAAATGTCTTGCACCATGCAGCTTTTGATCTTTTGGAAAATTTCAACTTGAAGGCGGTCATATTCCTTACAGTGTATATGGTTACTACAAAACAAGAATTGTTCTTCGCACAAGTGATTCCAAAGGACACATCTACTTGCTATATCTTCCGGTGAGCTTTATAGTTGATTTTCAACGATCATATCATGTTTTAACAACTGACTCCAGCTGCTTCACTGTGTATTATTTTATGTAGACTTTTCTTTTCTTCATATTTGCGGTGAGATTTCTCATCACCAACTGTTGTGTATATAATTCATCTCGATATTTAAAAAATATATGCTATGGTACTTGAATTTGTTGAGATTGCATGTGTTATATTATAGTATAATGTATTTATAGAATTACGATGAGAGAAAAACATTCAAGAGAATGCAAATTTAAACTTTTAAGATGACTCTGCATATTCCAATAT